TTATGAGCATAAAGAGTAATTAGTTTTATCAGGTTTCTCCTGCTCAAAATAGGCTTGGTATTTTTTTATTACGCTTTATTGGATTTGGACTGTTAGAACTTATAAATAAGTAAGTATGCTTAATAGCACTTTCAATTCATGAACTTTTTAAAATTTTCTATTCAACTGCTAAACTTTCAATTTTTTTCAAATACAAGTGTTTTTGTTAAATTTTATGTATTTTATGTTGACATGACCGTTAAATTATCATGTGGCATGATAACATGTTTTCCAAGCGTGCACAAACTTTTTAGCTTGTTTCTGAAAAAGTATATATACTTTTATTCGTTTCTATTTTAAGTGTTTATATTTGTATTTTTTTCTATTTAAATGTTTATGCTTTTGTTAAAAGCCATTTTTTATATTAAAAAAATAATTTAATTAATACTAAGCCATTACAATTTATACAAGACTCAACAAAAATATGAGCACGAAAATTGATTCTAGTCAAAAGAAAAATAACTCAACAACTACAATAATAACCATTACCCTTTTAGATGATATCTTGTCTTGTCTATTTGTTGTGCTTCTAAATAGATTCTTTTAAATTTTAATGTTTACTTTGCATCTTTATTTGATCATATTTGACCAAGACCAAACAAATAAATTTTTCACAACAAACACATGCATATCAAATTTATTAAAATGAAAAAATAAAAGTAAAACTAGCATGCCTTGAAAAAAGAAAAATAGATTTTAGACTTATTTGATTTTCTCTTCTTTCGCTAGAATGAAACATACCTCTATCTTTATTTTGATAAGTTAAAAAAATTTAATTATTTTAAAAAATTAATGATTTTAAGTACAAATCCATAACAAGGTTCATTAAGAAAATCCACTATTATTAAGTATTTAAAAAAAATATTTTATCCCATATAAGGATGTCAACAAGTGGAAACATTAACTATTAACTAATAAATTAAAAAAGAACAATTAATTAATAAACTATTGAGAATTGAGACACTTCAATAAAAAGTAAATAAAATTACAAACACTAAAGGAGAAAAAAAATACAAAATACAAACACTCAATTATAAACAAACTAAAAAGTTCACAAATATTTGGCAGATATGTCATTATATCATGTGTCAATTAAACAACCATGTTAAAACAAAATAGACAAAACCTCATAGAAACACTTAATTGAAAAAAAAAAATGAAAGTTCATGTACTCGAATAGCAAAAATAAAAGTACAGACATTCAAATAGAAAAAAAAATGAAAAGTTCATGAACCAAAAATATTGTTAACTTCATGAACCAAAAATGTTGTTAACTTCTATCTAGTATTTTATTAGTCGTATTTTATTGGTCCCAAGAAGTAAATAGCTTTATTAGGTTTTTTCTGTTCTACATAAACTTAGTATTTTTGTATTTAAGAATCTAAGTTTTTGTTGGATTTGAACTACTAGAACTCTATAACTAAGTATATGATCTTTCAATATTATAAATACAAGTTTATTTATGAATAAAATTCTAGCAATTTGCTTTTGATTGTGCGACTCAATCTCCATTTAGGTGTGACTCCGAAGAACCCCAAGTGTGAAGCTTAGTTTTTTCCTATCCTATAGGCATGACTCTTAGAAATTCATTCACACTTTCTCTCAAATCCACAAGAAATCTACATCAATACAACAACTCTAAAAAACCACTGAAACTTAGATCCAGAATAGCCCTTAAGCTATCCTGCATCACTATACATGTAACATAGGTATCAGACCTCATTGTTCCTCATCAAAAGAGTACCTACTTAAAATCTTACTAATACTACCAAGTAATTTTTTAGAGAACTCGATCTCACATACAAGTTCTATATACAATTAAATTTTCTAATGCTGTGTAGTTTTCTATGATTTTAGTTGAGTAATCAAAAATCATATGACATCATATTTTATAACATAAAAAAATACCCAAATGCATCCATGAGGAAGGAAAAAAAATACTTCCTATCTGTGGAAAATGAGACAAAACTAGGACAAAGGAATGCAACCATATAGACCATAAAGTAAAGCACCTATTCCTCTTCTCCTTTTTCTCTAAAGCTAGGAAGTAGAGCAACCACTATCTACAGAGAACGAGCTAGCAGTTGAGAATGCTACATGAAAAAAGAAAGGGAGAACAAACAAGAATTTTAAAGGAGCACCAAGAAAGCAATAATACTGCCTTTAAGGATCATATTCCATATAACAGATCTAAGAAGAAGAAAATCCTCCTAAACTTGCACAAACATGTGTAAGTAGTGAGAGACAAGGAGAGCACAAGAACTAGCCATAAGCATAAGGGACACCAAGCCATACATGTGCATGCACGTACTCTTATCAAAACTCTAATCTTATGAATCTTAGTAGTGTTGGTAAAAAAAAAAACATACATTCCAGGACCAAAATTATTATTTGTCCTTTGTTTTGGTTGTTGCCTTTTGATGCGGATCGGGCTAGAGTTGCCATATTCTAAGGAAATATTAGTTGGAAGGAAAATTTTGTTATAGACAAGATACCCGAATATGTAACCCACATACCTGAACAAGACTACTGGTATTTCCACCAAAAAGATGATTGTATCTTTTAATTTTTCCAAGAACCTCAGCAATATTAGGATCATTGCACTCCCTTAATGAAGCTTTACCAGGAACCAATAATGTAATCCGTCGATGACACAGCGGACATTTACATGGCTGGAATACAGATCCATGATGTCAAACAAGTATAATACAATCACCTAAAAATACTGAGTGAAAAAAATGTTAAATTACCTGCAGGTTTAATCTTAACAGTCCAGAACCCAAAAGTAAGAAGGAGGGGAAAAAAATTAAGTAAACCCCCCAAATATTATTTCAATGGGCTTGACAAAACAAACAGATAAAATTATGCATTTTGACCACATACTAGACAAAAATTTGTTCTTTAACTATAATAAAATGACATCAAATCAATTATGTTCCTATCGACAACTGTGCAGACCATAAACTACAAATCAAGCATCATTATAATGGTAATTTAGCAAACAAAAGAAAACCCATAAAAGATCATCATTTATCGTTCTTAAATGGAATCATCAAAATCTTCTTCCTGAATAAAAGATAAATTAAAATAAAAACTGGCATTGCATTCACATATTTAAGCTCACCCAGAAAAAACTCAGACCCAATCAATAAGCAAAACATGAAATGAAGCAAATGTGTAAATAGAAACTGACCACAAAACCATTGAAAGCAATTGGCTTGACAAGAAATGTTAAAGTGTCCATGGAATATGACGCAATAATCGTTCCCTGGAGGTCCATCCATTTCCCCCTTTCTTTTCTCTTCTCTTCTCTTTCTCGTTTAGGGTAAATGGAAAAAAAGTTCCACCATTAAAATAAATGATTCAACAGCTGCCTCTCTACAAATCCCCAGTCTCAAAGATCCACCATTAAAATAAATGATTCAACAGCTGCCTCTCTACAAATCCCCAGTCTCAAATAGTCTAGCAGGTGATATATGTTGTTAATGATTGAAAAATGATAAATACTTGTATATGACATGATATTTATAAAATACATACGAGAAAGGATTGGCTAAAACTGTAATGGACAAAAAAAGAAAGGGCAAACTACAGATGGGATCCTATAATTTTTCTAACATTTGCTCTCTATTATTTAAATATTTTCTTTTGGTTTGAAGATAAGGCATCTTTGGCCTTGTTTTTGTACCTATTTCGGATATTTTCTAACATTTGCTCCCCTACTATTTGAATTGATAAGATATTTTATTCAAATTCAAATATGAAGTGAATTTACTTAAGCCAACACCTCAAGCTATTATTTAAATATTTTTAATAAGGGTGTCTGTATATTCAATTAACAAAAGCTAAAACATGAAGGGAAAATACGGTAGAATATGAAAAGTGTTTTCATGGTTTTAAACATCGCATCAAAAAAATTTAAATTTCATTATTGGAGGCATTAAGTCTTTTTTATAATTTGATTAAATATTATCAAATTAATTTAGAATAAATAAATATTTTAAAAATATATATAATAAAACAACCAAAATATTATTAAAAACAAAAAAAAAATTGACATTAAAGGTTTCCTTCATATTTTTCACAATAATTTTTTCATTATTATCAATTCAACTAAGTGAAAATTTGGTATTTGAATAAATATAAAAAAATAGTAAAATGATCAAAATATTTTTAAAAACAAAAATTTTAAAACTAGGGCCAATGAATTTTTTGGTGTTTTCACAATAATATTTTATTATTATTAAGTTAGGCAAATTGATATTTGAATAAATAAATAAAATAATAAAAAGTAAAAAGTTGTTGTTGCATACAATATCTACCGGCACCCAAAAAAATGAGAGGGCATCATTAACGATAAATTATATCAGCCCATTTTTTCTCTTCTTTTCCCTTTAAAATCCTGCTATCCATATAAAATTTTAGGGTTATCTTGTAATTTAAGAATATTGCTATTTGGATGTTTATTCTTTTATTTTTAAGTTTTTCTTTTTATTTTATTATAAAATTTTAATTTATTTTTAATTTTATCGTTCAATCTTAATTTAAGATTTTTTTTAATTTTATCTTTGTTTTCTTATTTTTTTTGTTAAATTGATTTTTTTCAATTACACGATTCAATAAAAAATTATTTTTAAAATTTATTTTTAATATCAGCCCAATAAAGAAATTTAATTAAAAATTAAAAAAATTAAAATTCTAAAAAAATATTTTTAAAACTAAAAAACAAACCACCTATTAGAGCATATCTAGCAACGTGTTTAAAATTAATATTTTATTATTATTTTTAAATTATTTTAGTATACTAATAATAAAAATAATATTTTAAAAAAATATATTATTTTAATATATATTTAAAAAAAAATTAAATAGTAGCATCCCAAACAGTCCCATTATAATTGTTTACAACTTCAACCGCGCACGTAGTCAAGTGTAAGAGCATCGTATTATCCCCTCAGAAAGGAGGATAAAACCCATCAACCGTTAAAAACAAGGAAAGCTAGCTGGGAACTGGAGAGGATCATAATGTATGCTAGCCACAATTTTAACTGCTCTTTTCTCCTCCTCCTTCCACTATCATTCGGCACCAAACAAACCAAACCACCAAAGAAGTAAACGAAATCAAGTCAGGTTATCTTTTTCCATGATTTGTTGCAGCAGCAGCAGTCTAGCAATCCTCGGTACTGCTTCAAGAATTGATGGTACTGTTTCAAGAACCCAAACTCGTAACTCATTATCACTATTATCTCATTCTTTCCATCTCCAAGTGAATGTAAATAGGAAACATCAGCTATTTATGAGGAGGAGAATAAGCAGATGGTGCCGTGTGTCTCCAAATGCCTCCTCCTCTCTTGAGCTCCCTCTTCTTCCTTTTAACACGAACGAGGTAATTACTACTTACTTTCACTACCCTTTGTCTGTCTATTTTTCTTTTTGTTAACTTAAGTTAATTCCGGTGGGCATGTGTCAGCAGCTACTTCTCTTGTTCTTTACTTAATCACATGGTTTTGTACAACATAAAGCCTATAGATAATTAGTTAGATAACAAGACCTGAACTTGTCGTTTGGATTTTTATTTGATTTTTTCTTTTTCTCTTGTGAGATATATTTTTACGCTTGCCTTTAAAGGGCTTGTCTAATCTTGTACAATTACTTGAAATATATGTGTGCAAAATATATATTGACATGGGCATGAAAAGATGAAGAGTATAGAAAAACCATAAAAGAGACGTGAAATTGCCAGACCTGGCATTGAAAGAGTGATACTTTCAATTTTGATTTCTCTAAGTGATAGAATGATAGAAGTGTTGATACTTTCTTAGCCCTTAATTGATGTGGTAAGAATTTATTAGTAACAATCTTTTCTTTTCATAATGACAGGTTCTAGTTCCATCTGAGAGTAAAACACTCCATCTATATGAAGCCAGATATCTAGCTCTGCTCGAGGAGGTAGTCAAAATGGTCATGCTACCTTGCACGCGTTTGTTTATCTAGCTGCTTTTATATTCACCTAGTTATTTCTATTTTGTTTGCGGGGGAAGGACATTGCAAGCTGTCGACCTTTGGTGTATAGATGATCTGAGCATCTCATGTTCAAGCCTTTTGAGGTTTTTATCATATCGCTGCTAGAAATGGCTGTTTAGTCGATATAGAGCTATGATAAGCTGCTTCTTTTGTTCTTTTATAGACACCTCTAGTTCTTCTGTTTGGTGTATGGATGATCTGAGCATCTCATGTTTAATCCTTTTTGAAGTTTTTATCATATCGCTGCTAGATATGGCTTTGTAGTCAATATAGCGATAGGACAAGCTACTTCTTTTATATTTGACTAAACAGCCATATCTTTATTCGTGCTGTATTTGTTGGAACAATGTTCTGGGCATGATGATATGAAATAGGTATTAGTGATACTCATTTTAGGCTCATAAGATTCTTCAACTTGAGGATACGTTTCCACTTTATTTGAGGTGAGGTCAAGAAGAGGAATTGCAATTTCAGAGAGGAGAAAATGGTTTTGCATCCCTAAGAGGAATTGCAATTTCAGAGAGGAGAAAGGGTATTTACAGATGTTTCAGTCAGCCTTATGGATGTGTATACTAACTAGATTGCCAAATGTAGAAACATGCACCTTTGCTGCTTTGCTACGACTTTTGAGTACCTTTTTATTTATTGTAATTTTTTTTGGATCTGCTTATTATTCTTCTTCTTGAATGCTTGAACTTTCGGAAGAAGAATAGCAAGAAAAAGAGGAAGATGAAGGAAAGAAAAGAGCAGAAGCCAAGTTATGGCTGAGAGGTTGTTACTGTGATGTTTGTATGCTTAAATGATGTTTTCCAGCCTACAAATAACCTAGAACCCAAGCGCAGAGAGAGTAGCAGATTGTCACTTATTCTCATTTACCCAAATGCGTGCAGTGGTTATTTCTGGTGAAGTCGTAATTCTATGATTCATATATGCTTAACTTCTGCAACTTCTTGCATCAAACTCAGTTTTGTTAGTATTGTAATTTGGGAGGCACTGCATTCTTTTTTTCATGTTCATTGCTTATATATTGATATCTTATCTATAGGCATTTTTTCCCCATTTTCTAATCCATTGCTTGAGTTGAGAATTTTTAATTGCTTTAGCAATATTGCACTAAGTTAAGTCTAATGTGTGTGCAATCTCTTTGTGACTATCATTTGTGGCAGTCTTTATTAAGAAAGAAGCTGTTTGTGCATTTTGTGTTGGATCCTATTCTCATTAGCAACTCAGGAACTGAAGCATCCTTTGCTGCTAGATATGGCTGTTTAGTCAATATAGAAAATGTAAGCTTCCAAAATTTTGGGATCAAAACGTAGAGGTTTGGAGCACCTTTTCAGATAACTTGAGTTTTAGTACTCTGCAGATCGAACGCTTAGATGTTGGAGCATTAGTCTCCATAAGGGGAATTGGCCGCGTCAAGCTTTTGAATTTTGTACAGGTAAGTAAATTGTCAATATTATCTTAATATAACTGTTTTAAGTTTTGTTAACGAAGTTGTCTGCCTTTAAGAACAAGCAATGCCTATGTTGAACAAAAATTGTATCTTTTCATTTGGGGTTTTGTGGTGGTAGAGGGAGGGGAGTGTTCATTGAAACCTGCCCATGCTTGTCAATTATTTTTGCAAGCATTTTATCTTTATAGTTATTAGCTTATCATTGCAGTTTAGGTCCTCTTTTCTTTTTTATTTCTTGTTTTCCCAATTTTCCATGTCGATTTATTTTTCTTTTTCTGCATCTTTTGTGTTCATCTTGCTGCTTCCTTCTGCTTATCAATTCTTTTAGCTTATTTTTGCGATTGTGATTCAAATTTGCAGTCTTATCAATTCTTTTAGCTTATTTTTGCGATTGTGATTCAAATTTGCAGTCTTATCAATTCTTTTAGCTTATTTTTGCGATTGTGATTCAAATTTGCAGTCTTATCAATTCTTTTAGCTTATTTTTGCGATTGTGATTCAAATTTGCAGTCGGAACCTTACCTGAAAGGTGAAGTCATACCACTGCAGGATAGGTTTATTGGTGCAAATGAAATCAGCTCTAAAGTTATAGCAGTGAAGGACGCTCTTCGCAGTTTGAATAGCTTGGAAATCAAACTAAAGGTACTACTAGTCCCTCTTGCTCTCTAATTCTCCATCCTTGAGTTTGTACAGTTGTGCAATTGAATGCTTTCATCAAGAAAATTCTAACGTGTCTCGCAATTGAGTTCAATGAGAGTCCAAAGATAAAGCACAAAAAATTAGCCCTCATTACTTTTCATCAGTGAATAATCAACTTTTTATGCAAACGCATAAAAAAATATAAAACCAAAAACAAATCCTCAACTAAACTTGAATACTTAACTAGCCAAGGCTGAGATCGCTTCTGGGATTCACCCCTTCCATCCAGTTCTGTTTGGGCTAAAATTCCTTTAAGCGTCTGTGATACTACATTTCAATTTTATGGGTTCCTTTCCTCTTTAAGTAGCTGGCTGCACTGGAAATTAGTAGTAGTAGAAGAGCAAGACATTTTTCTGCTAACATTGGAAAGAAGGTATATGACATGTGTGCTGTGATTTTCTCTGCTAACTTTTTTAGCATGACTGGAATTTCTGGGGCTGAAGGATGTTCTTGGCTGTTGCAAATACTTTGGCATAACATATAAATGGTGGCAAAAATCAAACGTTCACAGTTTGTCCCACTAAGGCATTATTGGTTGGAATTGAGTGAAATATTTTCTCCCACTGAATGTCCCCAACTCATATGGGAAATTATCTTGCAAGGAAAATGGGGGATTGCTTACATGTTTACTTGTTAGATTTTATGTGATTGGAATATTACTGTCATATAATTTTTGCACATTATGTCCTGTTGTATCGTGTTACCACCATGTGGTGTATATATGGGAGTGGAGTTGACTGCTCATCTATTTCATGTCAATAGGCTCCCAAAGAGGAATTGTTGCAAACCTGTATTGCAAACTCTCTAACATGGGCAGAGAAGGAACCGTCCCTGGAATGTGATCAATCTTTCATCCCATCTCCTGCTGAGCGAATATCATTTGCAGCATTCCAACCTATTACAAGCAAGTGTTTCATTGATCTTTATTCTTAACATTAAAAAAAAAAGTTCCTTACAAAGCTTCAGTATTTTGTTGTGGTAATCATCCTAGTAGTTGGAATTTCACGACCACTCCTGCGAAGAAAAAATGACATGGCAGAAACCAAATTGATCTGCTTGTTTCTGTTTTTTGACAGGATCTACACAATCTGAAACACTCAAGTTGCAGCAACAGAAGTTAAGAGCAATGGATCTGAAAGACACGCTACAAAGGCTGGACAACTCACTAGATTTAGTGAATGAGAATATCTCCATGGTAGCAGCCAAGCTTGCTATTCAATCATTAGAGATGCAGTAAGCATTGGTGGAGATTAGTTACTGTTGATGTACAGTTCATGATGACATGATAGAACTGCTATTCTATTGATATTGTAGCTGTGTTTTTCTTATTTTGCTTCATTTTTCTCTCTTCTTACTGCATTTTTATCTTCTCAAAGGAGAAATCTTAAGTAGTTTTATTTTTTATATAGCAAACTCTCATTGTCCATAATATTGTAAATCAAACTAACACAGGCCTTGGTATGGCAGGATCTGTTGTTATAATGATATGAGAGGATCTTAATCTTCAATTTACATCAATAATTTTTCAGTTTCGGTTTTTAAATAAAAGAGTAGTCAAGCTTGCAAGATAAATTTCAGCAGCTGAGTAGTATTGAACTATATTATTATAAAAATTGAGGGGCGCTTTCTAGTTCTTAAAACCAAAAGAGTAAAAAAAAAAAAAAGAGGAGCCAAAATGGAAAATATGAGGCCTGGAATTGATTATGAAAAGCTCCAAAAAACGCAGGCAAGTAGGATGATAATTTCATATCACGAAGTCTTGCAGCTTCTTGCTTCTCCTTTTTCCTTCGACTTTTACTTCTCATCTATAGTTAAAACAGGAAAGCCACTGACATGGGATTTGTCCCAACCTCCTCGTTGCCTTTCTCAATCACCATAACTGCTACCACTACTATGACCATCAGAAAACCACGTCTCCTCCACCACCACAACCGCCACAGCAGCCGCCTTCACTTCCTTTCAAAGTGTTCTCTTCTTCCTGTACGTCATTATCTTCTTTTCAAGTACTCTTTCTTTAATTTAAGATGCATGACCTACAGTTTACAAATATCAAGCTTGTAGTAACTGAGTCAAGCTACCAGATTACAGATTTTTTATGATTTGACACTTGATTAATTCTGTCGTTTGGTACCCTTTTTCCATATTTTATTGAGCTTTTACAAAAATGTCATGGTTGCCATTGTTTCTTGCTATTGTTGAAACAATGCAACTTTCTGGCTATAAAGCTTCAATTCGTGTTCAGAGGAAATGCAGTTTAAATCTTGGGAGATCATGGAGGCTTCCTTGCAGCGTTCCTTGCAGCCTATTGAAAGTTGAAGAGGATGTAGATGATGAAGCATGCGAGTTAGTCAGTGGATTGGAGCTTTCAATAGTGGAAGGCGATGATAGCATCAATACTTATCTGTTGAACGCAGTGAAGAATAATAATGGAACTGGGACATTGCTCTTGTCTGGTATTTTTGGGTTTGAAGATTCATCTACAAGAGAATTCGCATATCGTGTGGCTTGTAATGGCTACAAGTAAGCTAGTAAACCTTGAATTGATAGGCAATTTCATAATAATGTTCATTTTCCTGTCATGTTGCAAACACATTTTCCTGATGTTTTTCCTCTGATACACAGGCATGATATTGGTTTGGTATTCGTAATTGCCGCACTTATGTTTGTTTCATTCATTCTTAGATCCATTTTCCGCGCAAGTTGAAATTGGCTCTTCGAGCTTCCATAACTTTCTTGTGTAATGGAACAGTGGATCACAAAACAGGAACCACAGAGGGTCAGAAAAGACATCGATGCATCAACAAAAGGGATGGTTGACGAATTCTTAGCTGCAGGAATATCTAAGAAGCATGGCATAATTGGGTATCCTTCTATGGTACAAGGATGGACCCTCCTTTAACCTCCACCATAAAGCTTCCTATGCTCTTTATTTCAGGTGACAATGACCCTCTTTGTACAGTCGGTGTCTTGTGAGAAGAGGATCGGTGAGGGGTCGAAGGCGGTAATTTTTTAAGGAAGAGGTCATGGCTTTGCTCGTCATCCGAACTCTCCTGAAGAAGATACAGATGCAGAGGAGGCTTTTACAATTATGAGAAATTGACTGCATTATGGTTTGGTCATGCAAAACTGAAAGCAAGTTAATGAATGTCCAAGCATATTCATTATACAGAACAAGTCTGCCACTGATGATGACAAGGGAAAAATCTTTCGTCGTTCTGTGTTTGATGTGGCCAATGATTTCTTGGTATTGCTTATATGGCAGGCTGCTGCTTGAATTGGAGAACTCCCTGTATGTAAGGGATAAGGACCTACCTAATTAGACAAGGGTAAGGACCTGGTAGTTCGGACAAGATCCAGTCCCAACTACGGTTCCTCAATACTGCAATCAAACGAATTGTGATGAAAGAAACTGAAAAACAAAAAAAAAACAAAAATTTCACATCCATCAATCTTCATCTTTGATTTTCTGCGTAATTGGAATGATCTATCCCGCCATGTCAGCAAGCCACCAAGTGACAGAAGAGTCCCTACTTTATTACAGGGTGCTAGAAACTAAAAGCTGCACAACAGCAGCAGTTTTCTGCAAGATTACCTTTTTCCAAAAATGAACTTTGCGCATAAGATCTCAATCTTATCAGCAGAATCAATTATTTCTTTTGTTCTCCTGGTATTTAAACTTTACCCTGATAAAATTACAGGACAGAAGGTAACAATCCATTGAAACTTGCAGTACATTAACAGTGTGGCCGTCAAGAACAACAATGTTCATTCTACAATTTCATAAGCCATCTGGGGAAAAGGACAACAACAATCTCATCTTAAGAAAAACCTGATCTGTAACCAAAGCAACTAGAGGATAGCTTCAAATATCAGTTCTCAGTCCTGGCCATCCTGGAAACAAAAGATCTCCACATAAACTGACTCTTCATGTAGATTCTTATAATAAATATGAGTTGATAAAAAAAAAAAAAAGATTCATAAATAAAGATCCAACAGATCTTATTGATCACAATGCAATAATACACTTAAGTCCCCGAGTTGGCTTTGGTTGGTGCATGAACATAAAAATAAAACCCCGTTCAGATTCTTTATCATTATTAGTGTGCAGGCCATAGGCCATCACCATGTAATGATTTAAAAGAGCATGCCCTCAACGAGATTTTCATGTTTCCTGGTTCTCCTTCTAACCCCATTTTACTCTGACTGAACTACTTTTAGAGAACTCATTTATGTTGAGTGGAATTTGTAGGTCACTCAGGCCACCCATAAGTCTAAAGAGCAGCCAAACAAAGACCAGAAAAAGGTGTTAATTTTATACTTAAAAGAAGGAATTGACAGTAACCAAAAGAATTCCAGTACAATTATATTTCACATTAAGAATATAGCATTATTTTAACTAGAACCAAAGTCCAATTTCAAAGAAGCATGACGTTACACAGAATAACATTGGTCAACATTTACATCATCACTTTTCTCAATGTTACATGCACAAAGTTACACTAAATTGATATGCTTGAATTTAACATCAAGGAAAATATGAATATGACAGGTTGGTATCTAATAATCCATGTATTCATTGAGGATATTCTATCTCCTGCTTAAACCTAAAAGTCAGAAAGTGTGCTAATATACTAAACAGGGAGTAGATGACTATGAATATTCTAAGATTGTAATGAATTTAACTCTTGCAGTATTTTATGGAAAAAAAATACATTGCTTATTGAACCCATTCGCAAATTGGTGTGAATAATGGATGGCTTTTTATGTAACAAAAGAAATGGGATTTCATTCATTCTTAAATGTGAGAACCAAGTTGAAAAAAGGTTCTATTGACAGGAACACTTTTACCATATCCCTTGGAAAGAAAAAAATCCAACAATAAAAGGAGATCGACAAAAACAGGAAAAAAAAAAAGATTCCAACCTACTACCTCATGCTAACTTATTGACCTAGTGAATTAAGAATTGAAATTTCTTATAATTCAAATAATAGAAATAATAATCATGTCAGTGCAAATCTGAAAAAAAGTAATGATTAGACAACTGAAAAACATTCAGGGAAAGGAGCAAACATTTTAAAGCACATTAAATAAACTGATTAAACCAAAGTTTTAACTTTGGCATACTTATTCCAAAAGTTTTGCTGTCATCTGTAATAAGACTACGGTTATCAAGATGAAGTAGGCAGCATGACTGCATAACATAATTGCAAACTGAACAGCCTGCGAACTCATATCATAATAGCCAACCAAAAAAAATGATAGAAGTTTAGGCAGAGCATATTTAAGGTGGACTCAAGAAAACAGGTTAATTGCATTCGATGTACTTCTATTATGGGTATTTGATCAGTTGAACTCCTCTACTATTACTATGATTAACAAGATCCTTTTATTCTATATTCTGTAATATTTAGGACCCTCAAACGTTAATATGTTAACATTAATAATGATGTGCTGTCATGCTGACTGCATGACACCAAATTGGATGGAAAAAAAAATAAGGAAAAAAATTAATTTTTCTTAATTTCCTTTAGATTTTAGAAAAGAAAAATTCATAAAACTTAAAAACTCCAAATTAACCTTGTTTAGACAAAGTTAAATAACCACTCTTTAACCCCAACTAAAAAAATTGAAACCCCTCCTACCTCCCTTTCTCATGGAACAAATTAAAAGAAGAAGAGAGCAGGTCCAGTAATTAATCAATCCTACTTTTAAAGTGTATTTGGTATTGTAGTAGCTTTTGTTATTGTGGTTTAAAAAAAGTTATTTTGTAAAAATTACTTTTAGTTGAAGTTGATTTGATATTTATATATGTTTGGTTAAAACTGTGGTTAAAATTGAGGTTGAACAAAAAATAGTTTAATATGCTTAGTTAATAATGCTTTTAAAATTGAGATTATAAAATAACTATAAAATATATATATTAACATTAATGGTTTTAAATTTAAATATTATGGATTTAACTACTACTATTACATCATGAAATAAATAATATTTTATTTTTTATTGTTTCATTAAACTATCTACAATTCCATTACATACAAAATTCATTCAACAAGAACTACAATTTTCATGATTTTTTGAGCATGCAATGAAATTAGGTAAAAAATTATCAGGAATAAAATTGAGACTACAATGCAAGTAAATTTAATTCACTCTAAATTAGTTTTTCAAAAAAAAAAATATTATTCATGTTCACGTGAACAGTACAAGTGAATTAATAAATTCACTGCACTGGTTTGGTTTTTCAGGGAAAACACTGTTCACATGAACAGTGTAGAGAAAGAAAAAAGCAGTCGAGAGCTGTTTGAATTTAACTGCGTTTTAAATGCAAACCTCAGTGGGCCCCACCAGAAATAAATTGTGTTTTGAATGTTATCAAACAATTATTTTGTTGTGGTTGCTTCAAACACAGAAGCAACCACGCAAACAAATAGACTCTTAATCAATCGAAACCCTAACCAGCAAAAAATGCCCCCTTGTTCATTCCAATTGCTATCATCTTCCATTATTCACTCCCTCCTCTCTCTTTCTAATAATTTAACCAATCCAGTAATTATAAACAAGAGAGAGCCCAGAACAAGCAGAGCATTTTTTTAATGCAAAAGGAACAATCCTAAGTATGAAGTCTTAGATAAAAAATAGAATAGATCTGCTTCGTATGCTAGAAATACTGATTTATGGCTTGAAAAAATGTAGTTTGTGAGCTACTTCTTTTGGATGTTCTTGCTGGATCTCCTGGTCCGCTACTTCACTTGAAGCAATCTATGCCATGGACCTTTCACACATCTTTCTTTTTATCAATGATGCCCTTGACTAGTTAAATGGGCATGGCAAGCAATGTTTCTTAATTAATCTAGGGTTAATTTGTTTTGTGAGAAAGAGGGAGAAGGGTTTCAATTTTTTTAGTTTTAGGAGTAAAGAGGGGTGATTTACCCTTGTCTGAACAAGGGTACTTCGGAATTTTCAAGTTTTATTGATTTCTATTATTTTTACTTTCCTATAATGTAAAGTAAATAAAAAATAATAATTTTTATCTTTCATGTTTTTTTTCCATTCATGTTAACACTTGAAGGTCTTAAATGTTAACTGAATATATGGTAAAAGGATTCCATTAATCTTATTTGTAGCATAGGGACCCAACTAATCAAACATCAACAGTAGAGGAATGTCAGATGCAATTAACCGTTAAGAAAACAAACATGCACGCACAATGTAAAGAATTGAGAAGGTGAGGGGTGATAATGAAAAGATATGGTCCTTTTAGATATTGAATCTAGGCCTAGCTAATGTCAAACAGGCCATTGCTTGAAAGTTTTAACTCTAAAAGTTGCTTGCTCTTTATATAAGATTTTTTTTCTCAGGAACACATTCCACTGAGTAAAGAATTCCACTAAGATGCAATCATCTACAGTTTCTTATGCATATTTCTACACCAATTTTAATCAAAATGATGTTTCAAGGAACTCAGCTATCTTCTGAATGTGCATCGTTCATGTGTTAAAGTTGCAAAATAAGGCATGTCAAAGTGTGATGTTAAAAATCCTAATCCAAGTATAATTAGAGGGACTGCATCACTGACAAGCCACAATAGTTGGTTTGTACAAGACAAAGAGTTTGCTTAACCCCACATCCCTTCTTCACCAATTAAAGCAAGGCTCAAGAATAAAATTTGTACTACTTTAAATAAGCTCTTAATCTAATCATAGAAAACTGTCTAACTAGTTTAGAACAGAGAAAATAACACAAAGAGGTGTCCTTCAACAAATGACATGATAATCAGAATACATTACGAACATGAAAAATGAAAAAAATGACAAGTAGACAAAAAAAAAATCAATAGTACTAGCATAGGTCTATAAAAGGTCAGAAACTATGCAAAAAATATTTGAGAAGTCAAAATATTCGAATCTACAGTTCATTTTACCAAGTCAACAAGTAGTAAAGGGAAAGAATGGCATAAAAAACAACAATCAAGGCAAGAATTAATTACCTAGCCCCCTAATGACACTATTTCGTGGTCATGAACAAGTGTGACATAATCTAAGAACAAAAGGGAATTGTGAGTGACTTGTAGAGGATAGAATCATGAACCTACATTCATCTACAAATACATTATGATTTTACACTGATTTTATCATTACTACTAGTACTACTACTACTATTTACGATGATGTGGAGCCATTCCAATTAAATGAAAAAGGAAACAAATAATCCTACCTTTGTGAAAATCAGACTGTAAGGTACAGATATATACACATTTACAATGCATTATGCCCCACCACGCTTTTAGAGGGATTCATGTAGTTTTACGTCAGTAGAGGAGATACCAAACACAAACCAGTAAGAAGGCATCATATAAAATGGTAAAGAACAGTTCCTCCAATTTTCATAAATCAACAAGTTATAACATCAACTTCTTAAATCCTTTGATGCTTTATCATTAGATTCCTAGCATCAAAGGTCCTTAAAAAAGTAACCAGTTGTAAATACCAATACCATGCCCATCATTTATGAGAAAGCGAAATATGACAACTTTTATGACAGCTCATATTTTAAAAATTTCAACTCATACAAAATGGACTATGTTCCTTGCAATAGTATAAAAATGACATTTCTCAGGCATGAACACATTATATGGACCCTAGCCACTAGACAAAAACACATGGAAATAAACATATAGCAATATGTTCTCAAGATTTACACAGAAGGCAGCACAAGAATCAGTGAAAGAAGTCCAAAAGAGAGTGAAAATTTTATTCTATGTACTTGTTTGTTGTTATCATCAGCATACCTGAGAAACAGGAGTACTCAAAGTATTAGGAGGTTGTAACTCTTCAGGAGCACTTGAAATAGTCTTAGGTGGTACCAACTTTGCAGTTGACCCATCAAAAATTCGAGAACAGTCAGTATATGCAGATCCAATGCCTACTCCAGCACCGAAAGCTATAGATGCCCAGCGAGTCACTGGGGTCCCTATTTGAAAAAAAAAAATATATATATATATATATATATGTAATGAAAACATTGATCAATTTGAAATTCTCACTGAAGGGCAAAAATATAATGTAACCAGTCAACGACACATATGAGTAGAGCTATCCATACAATAGACCAAGTTTTCACACCAAGCATAAAATGCCAGGGGCCTGGTAAATAAGTTATCTAAACCATTCAGATCCTCCAAACTCAAAAAAACACAGCACTATGGGAGGCTTTCACTTTTTACATTTTACGAACTCTGTTAGATAAATGCAAGTTTGCTTATTGCAATTCTTAATCGATAGGCCCACAGATTTACCAATGAGGAAATTATCAATAAATTTAACCCCCATTGTTCTCTTCAGAAAACTTAACATTTTGTCACTCACAAATCCTAAAAAAAAAGAAGGAAATTTCAATGTAAAATCAAAAGAATAAATCCGGGTTAACTACTAAAATAACAGCAGTAAAGAATTAGGCCAAAGTTAACATCGAAACTTGTAAATTAGCTACAAAACCCTGACTCAATACAAAATAATTAGGCTGGCAGTATCAAATAACCGCAGAAAAGAGAAATGAAGAAAGCCCAGAACTGCAAGCCATTATTATTCATTAACGAAACAAGACCATAAGAAAATTCAGATGAATGACAGGGAAAGCGAGAGACTGACTGAAGAGAAGAAGACCGCCAAAAGCACCGGCCAATGAAGAGTAAACAAAACGACGGACCGACAGATCTAGACACGCGTCCCATTTTGCATTCACGTCGGTTTTCTCTGCCATTGATTTTATATTATTTTTATTTTGCTTCTTCTCCTGCTGTTCTTCTTCTATTTATCCGATGCCTGCCTGAAGGAGAAAGATGCGGCGTTATTATTTCGATTTTGGTTTGAAATTGAGGGTTTCCTTTTCTTTTAGCTTTAGCTAATGGTTAATGGTTTATCTGGGAGTGAAGGTAAAGTTGTTTTAAAATGTGTTTTATTTGAAGAAATATTAAAATAATATATTTTAATTTTAAAAATTTATTTTTTATAATAAAATATAAAAATATTTAAAAATTATTTAAAAATTAAAATTTCATGAAAAGTTAGTGTAACCACAACTTAGGCAAAGCCTAAATCATTATGCATATGGTTTTTTACCAAAAAAATAGGTGTTGTTAATGTATATTTTAACATTTAAAAATAAATTATATAAGGATAGAGTTAATATCATCTAATTAATTTGATAGGTTGAAGAACAATTTAGGTATTAGATAAAAATGTATTTTGAATAAAAAAATTAAGATGATATTTTTAAAAAATATTAAAATAATAAAATATTAGATTGACTCGTATCAACTTAATTCTGTCAATATGTCAAATTATTATCAAGATTATGAGACTCTAATAACCTTAAAAAAATATTAAACTTAATTCTTAATTAACTCAATATTGGATTGTAAAATTTAAAAAATTCAACTAAAAAAATAAGTTAATTCAATCTGAATTAATCTCTCAAACTTTAATCATAAGATCAAGATAACTTTATAGAAAGTAAATCAAAATATATTATGAAGTTTAATTATTAATTAATTTAATATTGAAGGATGAATATATATATATATATATATAAAATAGGATAAACTCATAAAAAGCAAACCAAAATAAATTATGAAGCACAATTTCCAATCAATCAAATATTAAAGAATGAAATTTTAAAAAATCTACTAAAAAAAAACAAAAAACCAAAGTCAATTGGCTTAACTAACGATCTGGGTTATAAAACCGAGATAACCCTAGAGAAAGTGACTAAAAAATAAAGCTCAATTTTCAATCAATAAAATATTAAAGAATTAAATTGAAAAAAAAAAGCAAATAAAAAAGCCTCGAGCAAACCTATCAAACTCAGGTCAGGGAATCGAGATAATTTCATAGAAAGTAAAACAAAAATAAATTATGAAATTCAGTTCCCAATAAACATATTTTTGAAGGATGAAATTGAAAAAAAAATATTCAATTAAAAAAGGACCAAAAAAAAAAAGTCGAGACAACATTATTATCCCACAAAACTCGCGACTTGAATCATGAAACAATGATAACTTCATATAAAGTAAATTAAAATAAATTATAAAGTCCAATACCCGATAAACCCAATGTTAAAGAATAAAATTGAAATTAAAAAATAAGTTTGAAATTAAAAAAAAATCCCTAAAATTGTGTAGGACCAAAGTGAAAAGAGTGGCATTTCTAATGCAAACCTTATGGATAGCAATCTAAAAACCCATAATAAAGTAAATAAATAACCTAAGAAAATCAAAATTCAAGTTTGGATAGAAATTTTAATCCAGAGATAACCATGCACCTAAGAACTAAAGGTATTGTAAATTTGACTTGAACTAAATGCTTAAAGAGAATAAAAAATCAAAAGTATGTAAAGATGTCTAAAGGTTGATTATACCTTGATTAGTTAAATTTGTTCTTTCTCCCCGCAAAGAAAAAATGGTCGAATCATATAAAACACAAGTTTATTCAAAACATTATGACTCTTGACTTTTGCAATAAGAAAAATAATATATAGCCCTCCTAAATAACCCTAATAAACCTTTATTAGGTTGTAAACCAATGTGCTCGAGTCAATAATTAACTAACACAAGCCTAATGCCTAAAACAGTTTTAAAATATTAATTTTAGGCAAAAACAATCCTAAATTAAAATACAAGTTCTAAACTTAATGTAAATATTCAAATAATAAAATAAAATAATAAATAAAACCTTAAAATAATTCAGCCCAAAAGTAATATGTAATTAAATACTACAACCCTTTTTTTCTTGTATAACTAAGATAGATAACGAATCATTATAAAAAAAAGCATTTTGGAACATTAAAAAATCATTACCACACTTACAAACTATGTTATTGCCCATTAAATATTCTTATAGAATTAGAAAACTCCTAAAAATAAATTATTGAATATCCTTGCATTACAAGTAAAAAAATCATCTCCAAATAAGAAGTCTACAAGTTAAAAAATAACAAATAAAAAAATTCATTTTGCATTGGTTAACCTGCATCACAAGGCTTTTTGAAACTTTAATTCACTTGAAGTTTTAATCCAAAATAGAACAATATATCTAGAAACTCGTGGTAAAATTTCAGTTTAATCTAACAGTTAAATTAAAATTTATGCTTGATAGTATAAAATTAAACGATAGACACAATTACACTAGGATTTGAATTTCAATGTTCATCCTGTTCTTAGATCGTGTCATTCCCTCTCTTATTAAGAAGATTCATCCTTGAATATTTAATATGAAAAACATCCTATAGAGGAAACAACCCACCATTAAGCCAGAACAAAACATATGATGTTGACACCTTTCAAGATATGTTAAAATGATATTTGAATAGTTTGTAATTAACCTAGAACTTATATTGGATAACCAAAGTTATATGTAATGATTACTCTTATCTTATATCTATAAAAAGAGGCATGCAAGTAGTATAAAATCATAACGAAGTTAATCAATTTTTTGAGGAGTTTGCAGGTTCAATAAAAAAACTTAGTATAAGAATCATACAACTATGAAACATAGCAAGAATATTGATTTTTTTTATTAAAAATAGTTTTTTTTAAGTCTCTATAAAATAGTATTTATACTATAAAGAATCGTAAGTCTAACAAGATATCCATTATAAATATGGATAAACCTAATAAATAATAATAATATAATAAATTTAAATTTAAATAATGGTCATAATATCTTTAAAAGGTCTAATATAAACTAAAAAAAATAAATAAAACAGTAGCCCAATTACATTATATAAGACTAAAGTCATTTTTGTAATTTGGTGGTAGAATGGAAGCCTAACTTCAAATGCATAGTTCTTTATCGTATTAATGAATTAGAAGGTATGTCATATATCATTGGAAAGATATGTATGTTTACTTTTCAATACAACTAGAACCACATTAAAGTTACTTTTGTATATCTAGGTATAACCAAAACAATAGCTAAAGATCAAAATTAGCAGATTTAAATCTTTTTATTCCAATGTTTTCATAATGTTTTAGTCAATGTGTCTTAAAGAAATCCAGGGAAAGCCTCTTTGAACTTCTTAACTCTAAGTCTTGTCACTGGACAAATCGGAACCTTTAATAGATCTTTTGGTGTTGTTTGGACCGTATTATTCTCTCTTTACTTAAAAGGTTATATCCTTAAATCATCGCCTACATCAAATAAAAAGATATTAGAAATATTGAATGTAGCATGGACAATATACTTACCTAGTAGATCTACTTTGTAGGCATTATCACTAATTATCTTTATGATTTGAAAATGACTATCTCCTCATTACATCAATTTTGATATCCTTTATTCATGAAACTTTTCCTTCCTTGTATGAACTCAAACTTAATCTCTTAGTTCAAACCTTACTAATTTGTATTTTTTATTAGCCTTGAATGCATGTTACTCATTCTTTTTCTATATTTGATAATGTATATATGCCATGTAACCTAACTATCTTTCTAAAAAGTAAAGCTTTAGTAAACTAGTTATTAAATCTAAACATACATGAATATATATATATATAAATTTCTTGAATGTTTCATGTTAAAAAATATTAAATCATGTCATGTATATTTTTATTTTTATTATTTATGCAAATATAATTTTTTACTATTTTTAAGAGACTTGACCATATATAATTTAAAACATAAATATTTTTTTTCTTAAGATGGCACTGTGATGAACTACAATTAATCTTTTTATAATTATTTTAAAATATTAAAAATAATAAATATGTTGTATGCAAAATGTAGAATACATGACTAGTATTAAAAAAAATTCAAATGTTTAAAATGTACATGTGTAAATGCATTTTATTTTCATGAAATTATCTGAAAAACTTAAGTTGGGAGGCACCTTCATTCTTTAGTGAATAATGTGAATTATTTAAAAAATCATTGTGGATTGAAATAATTAAGTTTTTTCTAAATCTTCAATTTGGTCCCAATTAAACCCTTTTATGCCTAAATTAAAAGTCAATCATATCTTTTTTTTTATGAGATAGTGAAATCAAAACACAAAGGATCATAGTAAAAAACATAGAGAAAAAAGGTGACAACTTCAAATTTCATCCAAAAAAATTAGTTTGCTTCCCCATCTTTTTCCGTTAATAAGTAATCAATCCCTTTAGTTGTTAGAAATTTAGTTTTGGCACTAAACTTTATTTTTCTTATTTTTCAATCCTTTTTATTTTGTGAGAGGGGAGAAAGACTCTCATGAATCCGCTATAAAGAGAAAAAGTCATCATTTACACTTATTCTGACCACCTAAAATAGTTGAAACTAGTGTCAACGGGATCTATTCGATAAAGAGAGTCTTATAATGGTCGTTTTGCCTCAATATTGTCTAAAAATAGATCTAATTCGAGAATAAAAATTTTTATTTGAGTTGATTTTATGATTTTGACTGTTTTTTGATTTATTAGGTTGATATGTAAGTTTGTTGATATTTTAAGAGTATTTGTAGGGAGTTTCCAGGTAAAAAGGGGTGAAATTGATTTAGAGGTAAATAATTCATAGACCTCATTTCTGACCACCATAGTGGTGGCTGGATTCTAAGATGGCAGATGACACACCATCCACCACTTTAAATGAGAACAAAAATAACAGACGTGTGAGCTTGAGCTTAAAGGCTGACGCGCTTTGGTTTTTCCTTTCACAAATATAGGCCCATAATGTTGGCCTCTTTTTTTTTAATATATTTAAATTAACTAAATATTTATGAAAAAAACATATTGAACCTGATTAAGTTCATAATTCGAATCACAAGCTTGATAGACTAAGCATTTTTTGTTCTTTAATTTTTTTAAAAAATATATATATATATATATATATAATCTCACCATTGGTTAATGATGATCTATTTTTTTATTTAACTTAAAACAAAA